AGACCGGACAAATATGAATATTTCAAGCAGAGAATAATGAATGCAATTATTATCCTTTCTTTGAGCAGTACAAAATAATACTAAATATGCTTCTTTCTGTCATATTCTATCACATAAGCCAAGCTGATCAGTCTCGGTCCTGCAGTTTGACCGGAACCGGTTGAACCGGCCGGTTGATAAGTCTCGATCGGACCGGACCGGTAACCGGCGCCCGGTCGTCCGGTCCGGTTGCATCTCTGATCTATGATACAGTTAGCATTCTACTTTATCATTTATTTTTTCTAATGGACGACGATAAAATTGAATCCCTCAAAGTCAAACATATGGGTCAACTATTATTTGAAACATTCGCATTAGAAGGTGTTGATACTGCAAATTTACTAGACGAATTATGTGTTTCTGTGCACATGAAATGTTCCCAACTCCCGTACCAGACTTCACAAAACGAGAACTTTGAAAAGACGGATGTCATCGATGTGTTGATTAAGGAAAGAAAAGCTTTTGCGAAGACGTGTTCGAAAAGGCATTTTCTTCCTTTACAAACACGTCTCGGCAAAGGCGTTTTTCCGAACCAACGCAGAAAAAAATGCGAATGTTTTCCTTTGCGAACATGTCCTCGCAACATCACTTCGCAGTAGGAAATTTTTTTGGTTGTATATATTCCGAGCTGTTTCCTACTTTGCGAAGATGTGTTAACAAAGGTGGTTTTCCGAATTGATACTGAAAAAGTTTGAATATTTTCTTTTGCAAGGGTGTGTGAACAAAAGGAAATCTAATTGAAATTTTTATACTTGTTTACAGTGTTACTTGCATTTCTTTTAGTTGATCGCGCAGTTGCGAAGCAATATAAAGCTGAAGCATTGAATAAACGACCAAAGCTTTTATCTACTCAGCCACCACAAGCTGGAACATCGCCATATTTTGATAATAATTCAAACACAACGAATCACTCTACACCTTCACCGTCTTTTCGTGCCAATCCTGTTACAACGAATCTACTAAATGTAACAACAACAACACAAACATTGCGTTTCATTGCACCAAAACGACCACCACTCCAAAATGTGCTCAACCTCAGCACCGCCCAAATTTCTCAATCATCATCTCCTGGACCTCTCATCATAATACCGTCCTCTTCAACAACTCCACAACGTTTCATTCTACGAACAGTTAATAAAAATCAGTCAACTCACAATCTAACGTAACTAATAGAACAGTTAGAAGTTAAATGAACAGCTGAAATTTGTACATAGTGGGTGAATGAACTGATTTTGAACATGTATTTTGGCTATTCCATTTTTTCTACGCTTAGAAAACCTCTTTTTGTTGTCTATTTTTTCTAACTACTACTTTCTCGGATCCTTACGTTTGTGTCAGATTTTTTCTCGTACTTACATTTGGTCAAATTTTTTTCTTGCCGTGTTTTGTCAGATGCATTTTGTTTTTTTATTTTTTTGCACTACTTTTATTTGGAGAGATATAAGAAGAAATAAATAGTTGAGAGCAAAATGAAATGAGATTTGTTGGTTTCTACTTATTTCTCTCTAAAATATTTCATTTTCTCGTCTACGTTTCATTTTTAGATCGAAAATTTCTTCGAAAAAATGACGTTCCATTTTGTCTTGCAAGCTCCGATGAAAACGAAAAGTAAGGTTTTTATTCTACGGATTATGAAAAAAATTTATGATTTTTCTTTTTTAGAAGATTTGATTAATCATTTAAATGATTATGTTCAAAATGTACCACATCAATGGGCTGAAATATATGGTACCTCTTCAAATCAGATTCATCAACAAAAGTTGCTTGATTTTTACAACTCACGTAAATTACTTTTGTTCCGAAACGTAAAGGTTTTTATGGTCTCTTTTTCTCATTTCAGGTGTTAAAAATAAACAATTTGGTCGAAAATATTATCCCAGATCAGGAAAATATATATATCGTTTCGAATGAAGTAACAAAAGTGATGAGATGTGTTTTGTGGTTTGATCAGTTTGTGAAACAAACGGAAAGAAATGCCACGACAACTAATAATCACGGAAAAAGTAAGTTCTGTGGTTTTTGTAGTAGCTTTTGTAGTTCACCATTTTTATTTTTTTAGTAACGACGTGTGTTTCTTCGAGATCAGTCGGTGAAACTGATGGTAGATTATTATATTGTTGAAGGAGTCAAAACAGGCCATGCACCGTGAACAACTCTTTTGATCTGAAGTACAAAGAAAACAATTGGATTGTGCGCAAAATAGTAAATTCAGTTTTTGATTACAAGTGAGTTTTTTGTGCTTTAGGTTGCCTTTTAGTTTCCTTGAAAACAGTTTTTTATTTTATATGTTTTAGGTATCAATTGATTAGGTTCGAACGGGACGGTGAAAGTTCGTCAGGTGAAGAAGAAAAAGAAAACGCCGATGGTCGAAAAGATAAATCAAGTAAGTACAAAGGTGACCAATATTTTTCTGAGGTAGGGCTCTCCACTCAGAGATGAAAATTCGAACCATTTTTGATCTAACTAGATTTAGACTGCGAAAAAACTCGTTCATGTCTTAAACATTTTTTCAAGTCCAATTAAGTCAAGCTAACTAATGCCGAATTTCAAAAAATCGGCAGTTTTCGTAAGGTTTTCCCAAAAAAAGAAAATCGACTTAATTTCGATGTGAGTTGACTTGAGTGAAAAACATTGACTTTGCTTGGCTGTTTCCAAAAATGAGTTGAGCTGGGTCGACTTTACGTGGTTTCGAAGAAATATCACGAAAGGCTTGACTTGATTGCTTGGTTTTTGATATTACTTGATTTGACTTCGACTTGAAAAATATCAACTTTCTGTCTCTACTTCCACTTATATGTCTTTTTTTCCTTATTTTTTTTTAAAAAGCGCCAAATGTCGTCGTTACAACAGCACAACAAGGTCCAGCAGCAGTTTTAGCTGTAGTCACAAGTACGACATCAACAGCTGCTCTTAATCGGTTGTATTTTATTTAACTCACGCTAGTTTGATAACATCGTTTTGAATTTGTTCTTTTGTTATCTACCGTTCTAGTGAATCAAGACGTAGCACTGATGAAGGTGGTTCATGTTCAACTGCCAAAAAGACAAAGAAAGATAAATCTGGTAAGTCAATTTCGCAAAAAAGCCATTTTCCTATAAAGGGTGGGCCAGAAGTCCTGACTCGATTTAAATAATAAATTTTTCTATAGTGAAACAAGTGGTTGTAAATTTGTCTCTATGAAGAAAAGATGTAGTAAAAAACGCTCTACAAAATGACGATTGATTGACCCCGTTAGCT